TTTTTTTTTTCTTTCATCTATTCATCTGGTTCATTTATTTATTCGTCATTCCATCAGTCTTCTGCCTCTTCTGAAACGCTTAGACATTCTGGCTCTAAGATTCTTAGCAATCTGTGTAAATAGAGATTAGAAAACAAAAAATAAATAAATAATTAATTAAATAAATAGTCTCAAATATATTTATGTATCTGCATATCCGACAGCTTCCTTCAACTATAATCTCAATTACAGTTATCATCATCATCAATAAAACCAAACCTATGGCCTCACTTATCTGTTCGTATTGAAATCATTGATATACTGTTGGCTTTTTGATGTTTCATCTCCAATATACATACATATGTAAATTGTTTAATGCACTAAAAGAGAAAAAAAAATTGCATAAGTTGATATATGATCTCTGAAAATAATGACAGCAATACCGATGAACAAACAGACAAAATACGTACGCTGCAGTATTGATATGTAATATTGGTAAAAAAAAGTCCTTTTTTATTTTTCCCCTCTATTTAAAATATTCAAAATTAAAATGAAGTTATACTTTATTGTACAAAAAAAAAAAAGATCATATTTTTCAAGTTATTGTTACTATTGATAAAAGAACAGATAAGAGTTGTTGTTGTTGTTCCTTTCCAGTTAACTTTTTGCTTTATTTAAAATAAATGCTTTTTTTCTCCTTTATAAATAATTTTAATATAACTGCATTTTGGGTTTTGCTCTTCCGCTACCTCGTCCATCTTTCTCCTTCAAAAAAATTCTTAGCTTCTTTTTTTATCAACAATTTCATTTGAGGCACAAAAATACCAACTCATCTTTATATGAAATTTTAATTGCAGTTAATGATTTATGTGTAAAAAATAAAAACAGAAAAACAGCAAATCTTTTTTTTTGTTGTTGTTGTCGTATTTTCTGCCACCTCCTTTTTTGCTTTACTAAATAAATTTAAATATAGTACCCCGCGGTATCCACTAAAACAACGCCATAGGATTTCTGAATAAACACGCAAAAAAAGCTTTCTTTTAAAGATCAATCTCAAAGCAGTTTTTCTAATAGATCTGTTACTGCAGTGCCGTAGTTGTAGAAGTAAAAAATATATATATATATATTAGGAAACAAAAGGAACAACAGATAGAAACTATTCTTTTTTTTTTTTTTTTGGAAGGAATCTGTTTTACAATTTATTGTCTGATCCAATCCCACAGTTACTGGTCAAAAAATGCTTCAACAATTTTTGGTCAACAAAAACTTCTTTGATCAGTGATCAGCTGTGAAGAACTGAAGAAAAAAAAAGAGATCAATTCAACTAAACCTAATCTTTTTGTTCTTTTATAAACAGCAAAAACTTCTCGGAAAAAAAATTAAAGAAACATAAAGAGTTGAAGAGAAAAAAAAACTATTTTTAAATTCATTATTTGAAAAAATACTTTCTTCCTTTTTTTATCATAAAAAATTTACTGCAAGAAAATCACT